TCGTTAACATAAAGTAAGATTGCAACAAAATTTTCATCTGAGAACCTTTGAACATAAACACATTGATCTGTAGCAGTCCTTTTGTAGCCTTGATCGACCATGAATGAGTCAAACTTCTTATACCACTATCTCGGTGCTTGCTTGAGGCCATACAGACTCTTCCTCAACTTGCATACCAAATTTTTCTTTCCTAGAACCTCAAAACCTTTTAGTTGTTCCATATAGATTTCTTCATTTAGATCTCCATGAAGAAATGTTGTTTTCACGTCCATTTGTTCAAGCTCAAGTTTAAACTAGCTACTAATCTGAGAGTAACTCGAATTGAGGTCATTTTAACTAGGGGTGTCAATCGTGTCGTGTTCGTGTGACCCATGTATCTTGTTCTTTGTGTCGTTTCATTGTTATTTGTGTCATGTTTGTGTCAAGACCCACAAAAAAAATTATTTAGTGTGTTCTGAGTATTAAACATTAGTCTAGACTATTTATTGTGCGTATTTAATAATCATGTCAATTTTATAATTGTTCGTATCGGGTTCATATCAACAGGTCAGAGTTGACACCCCTAATATTAACAACTAGTGAGAAAATCTCATCGAAGTTGATTCCTTTCTTCTGTTGGAATCCTTTAATGACTAATCGAGCCTTATACTTCACTAGTTTTTTGTTGCCATCTTTCTTTAGCTTGAACACCCATTTATTCCTCAGTTTTTTCTTGTTTTTCAAAAGCTTCACCAGTTCATAGGTTTGATATTTTTTTAAGGAATCTATCTCATCCTCCATAGCTTGCATCCGCTTGTCTTTATCCATATGAGCTTGTACTTCCTAGAAGCTCTTTAACTCCCTCTCATTAGTAAGCAGAATATAGTCTGACTTCGGATATCTACTTGACGGAATGCGTCCTCTTTCGAATCTTCGTGATTGAGGCTCGTCAGCTATATGAGGTATACCATCATCTGATTGATGTGATGGTTCTGTAGCATCTGGGGGGGGGGGGGGGTTGCAACTCCCCCTTCTCAACACCTTCTTCATCATGTTGTTTTGCTTTTGGAGCTTCATATTTGATACTTAATAATTCATTAACATAAAAGGCCCTTAAGTGTGTTTATCTATATATATATATATATATATTCTATGCAAACAAAAAACAACTATAAAAGGTAATTAAAACATTTTATACAAAATGAGACAGATTACAACCATTTACAATTGGCCCTAATGAGTCTTCATACTTTGAAAGTATTCCATAATAACTTCATTATCAATGTCATCAAAAATGTCTTTCTCTATATAAGTAATCAAACTATCTGTCATCTATTAATCATCCATTCGATTACGTAACTTAGTCTTCACAATCCTCATTGCTAAAAATGTTCTCTCAATAGTGACACTTGCAATTGATAATATCAATGCCAAAGTCACAAGTAACCAAGTGGATATATCACATTTTTTTTCATCTCAATCACTTTTTAGCTAGATCACCAATCCCTGAGAGGTCTGCAAACTCAATGCGAGAGCACACATTAACAATATAACTATCAAGCCGATCAAAAAATTCAATGAGCTCTAGTGAAAAAAAAAATAATTTGTATAAAATTCAACAAGATGAATCAACTTTTCTTGTTAAAAGCAGGGAATGAATCAGATGGACACAAACATACCACTCAAAGAAGCAACTCAGTGTTCGATTCAATGAAACAGTTATTTAGCTGTTGAAGTTGTATATCAATAAAAACATAAAATAGCTTGACACAATAGTAATGTAAGTTTTTCATTCCTTGAGTATGCCTTGATTGCCCTTGACCTTGAAATGTATCATCCATATTTGAAACAATTATATCATGTTTGTCACAAAAAGAAAAAAACATCATCAAGTGAAGAAGTCTATTCATTCTCCTTTACCATTTGGAGTCGTTGTTTGGATACTTGAACTAACTTCATGACATTCATGATATGTTGATATTTCCTTTGTAATGTCTACGACAATTCATTCGTGATTCCCAATATACATTTTATCAAATCAAGATTAAACATAAATTCAAAAGATTGCAATAAGTCCAAAAGAACATTTTCTTCCCCTCTTTGTTCTACATTTGAATGATACTCTAAAATTATATCAAGCACATCAATTGCCGATGAAAACATATTAATCAAATTTTGTCTTCAGTGAGAGAGCACTCGTACTAGTAACGTACTAGTAACATGCGTAATAGAGTGTATCACTCATGAATAGACATAAAACTAAGTGCTTCATATTGCGAAAAATGCCTGGCTACTAGTCAAACATATGAAAACACTTTCTCACGAATTTGGGTTTTGTTTTAGGCTCCCTAACTGTGTAAAACTCTCTTGTTTTATTCTACAGGCAACAATAGATTGATTTTACGAAAGAATTCTTATAAAATAAGGAAATTGTAGATTCTGAAATCCCAAAAGCCACTCAAGGTTAGATAAATCCCGCTCAGACGCCCTTAGCTCTGCTATAGTGAGGAGTTAGCAAAAAGTGAGCACCAACTTTTAGACCCACTTCCAACACTCGCTTGAGCACTAGCTTTAGGATTTTATCCTAACCATCATAATTGACCTCGATTTGGCGCACTAAAATTTGGTGCAATCATGATCTAGACTTGGGCCTCATAAATAGGTTTTAAAACATATTTTCTAGCTTCGACCACCCATGCTATCTATATATTACGTAAATGAAGCCAATTCAGTACAATTAAACTTATTAAACGCTGAGGTCAACTAAGTTCTTTAGATCCACTTATCAAACTGTGAGGGGTGATTTCTATACAAAACATGAGATGATAGATCTCTCCCTTGGTGAGCTTGTATATGCCTAGAACATCACCTAAACAAAATCCTTCCTATGCTTCCCACAGTGAACAACTATGGAGCTATGAACAGGATGTTAAGGACGGTGGGTAGTGAATAGTAGCGAAACCCTCCTCTATAAATGATCAACTCATGGAGACACCCTTAAAAAAATGACCTGTCACTCAAGAAAGAAGAGTTAGAAGGGCGCTGGAGTGTTCTTCGGCGTGACGCCCTTCAACGCATAAGTCAGTATTCAAAAGAGGGTTTGAGGACACTATTGTATTTCTTGGATAAGGGGTTGCATACCTTTACTTTGAGCTCGAGTGTGCTATTTATACCTTCCAAGAGTTGACTGAGGTGAACAGCAGGTCCCCTAGGAGGGAAAGCTATTGGCTGGTTCGTACAGGGATAACATCTGGTGCGCATGCCTCGATTGTAGCATATACTTTTCTCGGCACCAGGTTTGCACTCGGGACCTCGAGCACTTAATGTATCCTTCCTAGCCCCACCAAGTAGTGAATGTGTCTTTTTTTTTTTAATTATTTAATGCACTTTGGGCACGGCCATGCATGTGTGGGGGAATTTTTGTCAATCCCCCCTTCGAGGGGTCAAGAATTAATTGTTCTATATACCGTACTTCTCTATCATTGGTTATTGAATTATTTTCTGATCATTCTGATTGCCTTTGAGAGGGGGGACCAATAACTGAGAGTCAACCCCATCCCCAAGCTGTAATACATAGAGGATGATTTATTTTGACCATAGGTGTGTTTTCCTTTGTCAATCACCTATACCTTCGAAGTCAAAATTTGTCTTCTTGGATGGTGACTGAAGCCGAGGTGAGTCATCGTCGGGTGCCAAAGAAGGTCTCCTATGCCGAGGACTGTACTCGCCGATATAAACGTGAGGTATGATACCACGGAGGGTTTCTTGCACCGAGGACTGTACTCACCTCATACCGACATGAGGCATGATGCCGAGGAGGGTCCCCTGTCGAGGAGTGTACTCGTAACACGTGTTGCTCCATCATTGGTTGCTAGGATATCCCATCAATTACCCCCCAACCCCTAATCTTCGTACAGACTGAATGACATGTCAGATGAAGCTGAAAGGGCTTGTATCATTTGGCTTTTCACAAGAGACGTGTAGCCATTTTCCCTCCTTTGGGGACTGTATCGAATTTAAAGTGACTCATTGTGGAACATGGGTAATGATGGCACCCTCACCATATATAAGTGGTCATCCTCCTTATTCTTTATGTCATCTTCTTTGTGAAAGACTATTATGAAAAGTTTGTCAAAAACAAACTAAAAAGACCACCGTCTTCCATTAGAGGTTCATTATTCCCCTCAAGTTCGCCGGAGAAGTTTGAAGCTCACCACTCCACCTTTTTTGAAGGTTCATTAATGCTTACTGGAGACGTGGCGAGGTATGTTCAGGGACTCTGGTTCTAAGTTGTAGTCAAATTTTTTGGTAAGTAATCGCCTCCTTTTTTATCTCCAGTGACTGTCTCATTTGTGTCTCCTTATTCCTTTGTTGGACCCCTTAGGATCTCCCCCCTGAGTTCGACGTTGTCGAAACTCCGGTGTTAACGCCAACGGACTTGGGCCCTCAAGGAAAAGGAAGTACATGGTCAAGGGTTGCCAACAAATAACCAACTTCAAGGCCCACCATTCGATCCCCCTCGGGGTGACCATGAACGAGGCAACTATGCTGTTTTTCACCAAGGCGATCATAAAGGGTAGAATTAGGTTCCCCCTTCACCCTATCCTTCTTTGTTTTTTGTTCTAATTCCACCTTTTCCCTAGGCAGTGTTGCCTAAACACATTTAGGATCATCATGGGGGTGGTCACCTTGAATGAACAACTCCATGTCAACCTCAGCTTAGAGTACATTCTTTTTTGTTATACTTTGGTGAGAGTGATGCCTCAACAAAAATTCTCCCTGAAAGCCCGAGATCCTACCATGCACCTCGTGACACACTTGCCAGACTCTGATAAGGGGTATAAGGATGAGTTTTTTGTCTTTGGCAGCTAATGGTAGAGAGGAGCCAGCCCGGAGTATGTTGATCTGTGGTGCCCAAAGCAGTGGCGGACTACGAGTATGTCGGCCTCTCTCTCTCTCTCTCTCTTCGACTCCTTGTACCTCGACACGTTAGTTGTCCTTTGAACTCACCACTTTCTTCTTTCTTTAGCAGATGTTACTAACACAGAATTATCACCTCCTCCTCAAAACATTGTCAATCTCCCCAATCTTTTCACCGTTTGGGGTCACTTGGGGAACAACGGTCTAGGCTGAGCTACACACGTCCTATTGGACTATACACCTGGATATTGAAACTTCTCCCAAAATCCATAGGATTTCGATCTGTGCGAGGTGGCAACAACAAATCGGTGAGAACTTAGAGTAAAACCCTAATTGAGCTGCAGACACCGAGGTTAAAGGAATCGACGCCGAAGTAAAGAAAACACAGGCCACACCTGTTGACGCCAAGACCAACACTTCCGGTAGGGAAAATTGGCTTGACTTTGAAGTCTTGCAAAATTTTGAAGAAGAAGATGTTTTGGAGCTCGCCATGTTGAACTAACTTCGACTTACCCTCAACATGATTAAATCCAGGGCTGCCCTTGCCGCCAATCAGGGGTATGGTTTAGGTACCGAGAATGCATCATCTCAATAAGAGCGGACTCCCCCATCTAGAACTATGATCGCGCCGAGGACCATCCCACCAAGTGATCTGTCTTCTACTGACACACTAGTGGTGCTGACATCTAGCTGTGGTCAAGTCTACCCCATAGATCCTCAAGTTGAGAAAAGGAGGATCAAGCAAAGACACGATGTTGCTAGTCGCGGTAAGGGTGCACCCTTGTCTCCGCCGTTGCCTTCCATCGATCAGACAGGGCCAGTTGCTCCTTTAACACTCGAATGGCGTGGTCGGACCCGTGATCACAACAACATGTCATCCAGGTTTCTGGCTCCATTGTCGGCTCTCCTCACGTCGCCTATTTTGTGAGTGAAGCTCTTCAATTTGACACCGACATGGAAATTCAAAGGGCGTCGGAGAGCAATTAACTATTCTGTTCCCTCATTCAGAATTCCCTAATGGTAAGTTTGAAACACTTGTGAATTTTTACATCACCTTTGTGACTGACTTCCCCCCTTTTTTTGTATTCTAGGCAGCGCAGCAAGTTATTATCATCTCCAAGCACTTCCACACACATCAGGCCAAGGTTTAGGAATGCCAAAAACTTCGCATTTTGATCTTGAAAAAGCCCAAGGGGAGCTTGCTATGGCCCAGGAGGAGGTGGTGGCTCGAGACTAGACATTGGGGACCTAAGGGGCACAGATCTCCGAGCTCTTCAAGGAGAGCCATAATGCTAAGATGGAGGCTAACAGGAACTTGATCTTCTTGCTGACACCAAGAAGAAATTGACTAAGGTTAAGAAACTCGCATCTTTGACTGAGGGCAAAGTGTTGGAGTTGGAGCAGAATTGCATCACCCTCACCCAAGAGCTAAACAAGTTGAGATCCGAGTTGAAGGAGATGAGTTAGTTGGAGGAGGAGTTAGTCAACCGTTGTGCTGACGATATTGTTGTGGCCTTTGAGGAGGTAAAGAAGGAGTTTATAAAGAAAGGCTAGGATGGTTGTTTGGGGTCCCTACCGAGTTTCCCCTCCTTTGGTTGAGAACCCAACCCCCGTCCTGCAGACCAATGATGCCGGTGTTCTCGGCGACCCAGTCCTTTCAATTGACAGCGCTGACACCCTCTCTGCCAATGTTGACGAGCTTTTTGAAGACATTAGAGGTGGCATCGAGGGTGATGTTAGTAGACTCAGGTGTTTCTTATATTGCACATCTCTTTTTTTTTTTTTTTTGGTCAAGGGGGCCTGTCGGANTCTCTCTCTCTCTCTCTCTTCGACTCCTTGTACCTCGACACGTTAGTTGTCCTTTGAACTCACCACTTTCTTCTTTCTTTAGCAGATGTTACTAACACAGAATTATCACCTCCTCCTCAAAACATTGTCAATCTCCCCAATCTTTTCACCGTTTGGGGTCACTTGGGGAACAACGGTCTAGGCTGAGCTACACACGTCCTATTGGACTATACACCTGGATATTGAAACTTCTCCCAAAATCCATAGGATTTCGATCTGTGCGAGGTGGCAACAACAAATCGGTGAGAACTTAGAGTAAAACCCTAATTGAGCTGCAGACACCGAGGTTAAAGGAATCGACGCCGAAGTAAAGAAAACACAGGCCACACCTGTTGACGCCAAGACCAACACTTCCGGTAGGGAAAATTGGCTTGACTTTGAAGTCTTGCAAAATTTTGAAGAAGAAGATGTTTTGGAGCTCGCCATGTTGAACTAACTTCGACTTACCCTCAACATGATTAAATCCAGGGCTGCCCTTGCCGCCAATCAGGGGTATGGTTTAGGTACCGAGAATGCATCATCTCAATAAGAGCGGACTCCCCCATCTAGAACTATGATCGCGCCGAGGACCATCCCACCAAGTGATCTGTCTTCTACTGACACACTAGTGGTGCTGACATCTAGCTGTGGTCAAGTCTACCCCATAGATCCTCAAGTTGAGAAAAGGAGGATCAAGCAAAGACACGATGTTGCTAGTCGCGGTAAGGGTGCACCCTTGTCTCCGCCGTTGCCTTCCATCGATCAGACAGGGCCAGTTGCTCCTTTAACACTCGAATGGCGTGGTCGGACCCGTGATCACAACAACATGTCATCCAGGTTTCTGGCTCCATTGTCGGCTCTCCTCACGTCGCCTATTTTGTGAGTGAAGCTCTTCAATTTGACACCGACATGGAAATTCAAAGGGCGTCGGAGAGCAATTAACTATTCTGTTCCCTCATTCAGAATTCCCTAATGGTAAGTTTGAAACACTTGTGAATTTTTACATCACCTTTGTGACTGACTTCCCCCCTTTTTTTGTATTCTAGGCAGCGCAGCAAGTTATTATCATCTCCAAGCACTTCCACACACATCAGGCCAAGGTTTAGGAATGCCAAAAACTTCGCATTTTGATCTTGAAAAAGCCCAAGGGGAGCTTGCTATGGCCCAGGAGGAGGTGGTGGCTCGAGACTAGACATTGGGGACCTAAGGGGCACAGATCTCCGAGCTCTTCAAGGAGAGCCATAATGCTAAGATGGAGGCTAACAGGAACTTGATCTTCTTGCTGACACCAAGAAGAAATTGACTAAGGTTAAGAAACTCGCATCTTTGACTGAGGGCAAAGTGTTGGAGTTGGAGCAGAATTGCATCACCCTCACCCAAGAGCTAAACAAGTTGAGATCCGAGTTGAAGGAGATGAGTTAGTTGGAGGAGGAGTTAGTCAACCGTTGTGCTGACGATATTGTTGTGGCCTTTGAGGAGGTAAAGAAGGAGTTTATAAAGAAAGGCTAGGATGGTTGTTTGGGGTCCCTACCGAGTTTCCCCTCCTTTGGTTGAGAACCCAACCCCCGTCCTGCAGACCAATGATGCCGGTGTTCTCGGCGACCCAGTCCTTTCAATTGACAGCTCTGACACCCTCTCTGCCAATGTTGACGAGCTTTTTGAAGACATTAGAGGTGGCATCGAGGGTGATGTTAGTAGACTCAGGTGTTTCTTATATTGCACATCTCTTTTTTTTTTTTTTTTGGGTCAAGGGGGCCTGTCGGACCTCCATATTCATGTAAGCTCGAGGGACGCAAAGCCCTCATTCTATTCTAAATGTATGAACAAATTTCATTTTTGTACAAGTGTTTATCTAGTTATGACTTTCCCTAAGGTTCATGCCCGAGTCGATGTTCCACCCCTCGGTATCATGCTTGCTTGGCATCGCTTGGCCTTAGCAGGAGTTGGGACATCCTTTCCCCCCTTTTTTTTGTACAAGTCAGATGTGTTTTGTATCACTATTTGTCTCATCCGGGGAGGCGTCCCCTCTTTATGTTGGGGGTGTCGGTGCACTCGGCACTCCTAAACCTTGGGATTGTACCCCTCAGGAGGCTTTTCTCCCTTGATATCTTCGGAAGCAAGAGTGTTCTTGACACATCTTTGCCCCGGGGGCCATGCCCCCTTAGGAAGTTCTATTCCCTTAAATCTTTTGGTGTTGAGGGCATCATACACGTCTCACCTTCAGGGTCATGCCCTTCTTGGACGAAGTGTTAGCAAAAACAAGTTATTTCATTCATCAAAAGTAGTACTTTTTCAAGTTTATTACATTCCTAGGCCTAAGTACAACATTTCCTTCCATGTCCTCATATAATCCGGAGCCCCTTACCGATGTGACTCTATAAGGTCCCTCCCAATTAGACCCCATCTTTCCATAGGTTAGATCATGAGTATTACTGATCACCTTCCTTAGCACTAGTTCACCTACTTGGAATTCTCATGGATTGACTTTCTTGTGGTAGAGTTTAGACACCTCGGCTTAGTACTTTGCCAATCGTAAGGAAGCCATTTCCTTTCTCTCTTCTATGAGGTCTAAATCGCAGGTGAGCTACTGATCGTTCTCCTCCATGTCAAAAGCCTAAGTCCTTATAGTGGGGAGATCAACCTCCAATGGGATAACTACTTCAAATCCGTAAGAGAGGGCATAAGGTCTCTCGCTTATTGAGGTGTGCGAATTTGTTCTATAGGCCCAAAGGACATTCAAGAGCTCCTCGACCCACTTTTCCTTACCTTTCTCCAGCCTCTTCTTGATTTCATTAAAAATAGTCTTGTTGAAGATTCCGCTTGCGTTTCTTCGGGGGTAGGAAGGCGTTGAGTAGTAGTTTTGGATCCCCAGATGTTCACAAACAGACTTAAAAGGCCTATTGTTAAATTGAGTCCCATTGTCGAACAAAGTGCATAGGGAATCCCAAATCTCGTCACTATATTCTTCCAGACGAACCTATTGGTGTCTGTATCTTTGATGTGGGCCAATAGTTTGGATTCCACCTACTTTGTGAAGTAATTGGTCCTAACTATCGGGAATCTCCTATTTTCAGGGGCCTTTGAGAGAGGTTCCATTACCATTGAGCGAATGGTCAATGACTGGTTAGTGGGTGTAAGTCTCCCGTAGGTTGTCTAATGATGGAAGCAAACCTCTGACATTGATCGCACTTCTACATGTAAGCTTGCGTGTCTCTTTGCATGTGAGGCCAGCAATATCCCTGTGACATGATCTAGTAGGCCATGGATCTTCTACCTAAGTGTTCTCACATATACCTTTGTGCACCTCATAAAGCAGGGGCTCAACCTTGTTCTTGCGGATGTAGAGGAGGTAGGGTCCATAGAAGGATTTTCAGTACAACTTTTGGTTCGGGGAGGCCTAGAACCTTGGTTCTTTCAGTTTCACCCTTCTTGCTTCCTTGGAACACTACGGGAATACCCTAGTGACAAGGAACTTAAGGATGGGAGCGATCAAACTAGGGGGATCTCTCGCATCCTGGATTGTCAAAGCCTATGGAGTGTTGTCGATGCTGGAGTTGGGGAGGTATTCAACCATGATCCTCTGGGTCATCTTAGAGTCCATTGGGTCATCTTAGAGTCCATTGCCGAGGCAAGGTAGTTCAATGCGTTGGCGTGAGAGTTCTTGTCTCGAGGAATTTGCTTGACCTCTACTTTTTCTAACTTTTGAAGCAGTGTTACGACTTTATAATGGCAAGCCTTGATCCTCAGATCCCTTGCTTCACACTCTCCATTGACCTGATTGAGCACTAATAGCGAGTCACAAAGGACCGACAGTATAACGGCCCCGACCATGTCGACAGGGTTGAGTTCTAAGATGATAGGCTTGTATTCAGCATTGTTGTTGGACACGTTGAACCCTAGTTGCACAGCCTGCTCCGTGGCCAACTCATGGGGGGAGACTAACACCACTCCAATCCCCGATTCCTTAATGTTGGAGGATCCATCTACACATAGTTTCTGAGATTCCACCTAACTTTCCTCAGGGGGTCAATCCTCGGGTGGAAGGTGCTCTCCTTGAGTGAATTTGGCAATGAAGTTTGCCAGGATTTGACCCTTTATCACTACGTGGGGTTTGTAATGGATGTCGTGTTCCCCTAACTCCACTGCTCATTTTGTTATTCTTCCTGAAAGGTCAACTTTCCTTAGTATGGATCTCAGTGGCTGATTTGTTAAGACCGCGATGAGATGTGCTTGGAAATAAGGCCTCTACTTTCGTATGGCTGTGATCAATACTAGTGTGATTTTATCCAAGGGGAGGTACCTTGTTTCTGGGTCTAATAGGGACTTGCTTATGTAGTACAACGGATTCTACTCCTGCTCACACTTACGAACTAATATGCCGTAGATAGCAAACTCAGAAACGACCAAGTAGAGGAACAACATCTCCCCTCACTCTGGCACCGACAAAGTTAGGAGAGTCCTAAAGTATTCCTTGATTCCTTTGAGTGCTTGTTAATATACGTCATTCCAAGAATTCTTTCCTAACCTCTTGATTACGCTAAAGAAGGGTTTACACTTGTCCGAGGAGTAGGATATGACGTGATTCAAGGCAGCTAACATTCCCGTGAGTTTCTAGACGTTACAGATAGTTTGAGGGCTCTGAACATCCAAAATAGCTTGTATCTGCTCTGGGATGGCCTCGATGCCACGCCGGTTCAAAAAGTACCCTAGGAAATTTCCAGAGCTAATCCCCGAATGAACACTTGGATGCATTCAACTTTAATCTATACTTCCTGAGTGTATTGAAGGCGTCCTCTAGGCCTGCCAGATGATCACCTCGATGTCTATTTTTTACCAGCATGCCATCAATGTATACTTGCATGGTGTCTCCCATATGATGCTTAAAACATTCTATTCATTAACCTCTTATAGGTAGCATCGACATTCTTTAATCTGAACAACATGACCTTATATTAGTAGACCCCCTTCGGAGTGATGAACACAGTCTTCTCTTGGTTGGATAGATATAGAGGGATCTGTTGATAACCGGCTCGGGCATCCATGAAGGTCATGCATTCGTGCCCTGCCATAGTGTTGACTAGTTAATCGACCTTGGAAAGGGGGTAGTTGTCCTCCGGACATGCTTTGTTCAAATTCGTGAAGTCAACATAGACCCCCACTTCTTCAAATTCGTGAAGTCAACTTAGACCCCCACTTCCCACCCTTCTTCTTTGCACACATAGTGTTAGACAACCACTCGAAAAACTACACCTCTCGGATGGCGTCGACTTCCAGGAGCCATTCCACCTCTTCATTTATTGCTTGGGCATGATGAGGTGCTGAACATCGAGGCTTCTATTTGATTGGTTTGTGATTAGGGTCCTCGTGGAACTTGTGGGTCATGACATCAGGACTTATGCTTTTCATTTTCATGACATCCCATACAAACACGTCCACATTTTTTGGCAAAAAGTTTACCATCTCTTCCTGTTCTGTTGTTGACATCACTAAGCTAATCAAGAAGTATCTTTCTTCGTCCCCTTTGCTCAAAAGTACCTTTCAGAGGTCCTATATAGAGTGATTAGATGGGTTAATCCACGACTTGTCCATGCCTAGCTACCCAGACTATAATTGCTATTTGTTCAACACTTCTTCAAAAAGTACGTTCTTTTTCCTTGGACACAACCCCACCCTTAACTGCCGGATAGAAACAACTCCTTGATGAGGCTTGGTCTCCACATATTTCCATTATCCCCTTCGGAGTGGGAAATTTTAATTTCTGGTTATAGGTGGATTGCATTGCTCTGAGTGAGTGCAACTAAGTCTGCCCAGTGATTATGTTGTATGGTGAATCGAAATCGATCATCACAAACTCAATATTGATTGTAAGAGGTCCTACCGTGACTGGCAAAGTAATCTTCCTCAAGGGTTGGGTGTATGATCCGTTTAATTCGATGAGGGGTGTCTTGACGGGGGTAAGATCTTTGGGCCCAAGGCCCATCTACTTCAACACGTCGAGGTACATTACCTTCAAGGAGCTCCCCGAGTCGATCAAGACCTTTTTGATGTTGAAATTGGAAATACGTAGAGTTACGATCAGGGTGTCTTCGTAAGGAAGAGCCATACCCGCCAAATCGGCATTTGAGAAGGTAATGCCACTTTTATCCGTACATGGCTTCTTACTCGTTTGGCCTCTGTCGTTTTCTTCTTCCA